AAATGCGAATCTTCTAATAGTTTAACTGAAAAATAACTTCTTGATGATGGTCCTTTAAATGTTTCCCCCTTTATGCCAATGCATAATAACACTCACTGAAGGAGCATGGGAACTCGCAGGTGATTCTAGTTGCTGTAACTCATTTTTCAGTGTAAGGATCATGTGGTATACTATGATCTTATTTCAGAGTCTTAAGGAGCTGCATATAGAAAACAACCATCTGGAGTACTTGCCAGTGGCCTTGGGATCAATGCCTAACCTGGAAGTTCTTGATTGCCGCCACAATCTGCTTAAGCAGCTTCCAGACGCCATCTGCCAAGCACAAGGTGGGGAATCTTAGTAGGCCCATAGCCTAGTACAGTGGTTCTCAACCTTCCTAATGCCGCGACCCTTTAATGCAGTTCCTCATGTTGTGGTGACAACCCAACCATAAAATTATTTTCGTTGCTACTTCATAACTGTAATTTTGCTACTGTTATGAATCGTAATGTAAATATCTGATATGCAGGATGTATTTTCATTGTTACAAATTGAACATAATTAAAGCATAGTGATTAATCACAAAAACAATATGTAATTATATATGTGTTTTCCAATGGTCTTAGGCGACCCCTGTGAAAGGGTCGTTTGACCCCTTTAAAGGGGTCTCGACCCACAGGTTGAGAACCACTGGCCTAGTAGAATTTGAGACCAGCATTTCCCTTGATAAAAGCTTCTTTGCTTTTCTAAAGCAATCTCCGTGTTTAGAGAGCTTGGCCCTACCTCATTGCCTCCTTGCAGGGCTCCCTGGGAAGGTCAGGTCCCTGACTAGTACAGCTCAGAGCCTCCTAAAGGCAGATTATTTGTTGGCAATTTGAAAAGCAAGTAGCAACTACTAAGATAATTAGTCATTACATCATCAGCAAAAATGTACTGAATCCCTACTACATGTTGGAATTGGGAGTTGGAGACCCTGTAGTAAATTCACATTAGGTCACTAAGTCACTTGAAGAAAAAGAAAATACTGACTCACAATGGTGAAATCAGCAAGGGGCGGGGATGGGGGGAGGCTTTTGAAGCTACATGATTGACATGAAAAGTCATATATGGTTCATATTTAAACACTCAAACATATCCATTTACTTAAGCTTTTTGCTGAGTTCCTACTGGGGCCAGATTTAAAAAAAATTTCCCCATAGTGTACTGGATCTTCAGGTTTATAGATATGTTTTCAAACTATGCTTATTCTTTAGTGAAAGGAGGATGAAGAAATATGAGTGCAAGCTGTTACCTAACCACAAGACATTCAAAGGTTAGAGGCTATCCCAGCCATGGGCAAACTACGGCCCGCGGGCCGCATCCAGCCCGTATGAGATGAATAAAACTAAAAAAAAAAAAAGACCGTACCCTTTTATGTAATGATGTTTACTTTGAATTTATATTACTTCACACAAACACTCCATCCATGCTTTTGTTCCGGCCCTCCGGTCCAGTTTAAGAACCCATTGTGGCCCTCGAGTCAAAAAGTTTGCCCACCCCTGGATCCAGTACTCTTTAGTAATGCTCCTGACTATACATTTTTATCCGGTCCTTGGTCTCTGGAGGAATGAAACATTCTCAAAATCTTTTAGTGTTTATTAATGTTTCTTATCTCCAATACTTATTTACACGAACTCCAACAACTCTGAGTTGTTTTAAAGAAGAGAACTTCAGGTTGCCTCATCAAATCTGATGTTTTTTGTGACATGGCTCAGTAGAAAACACACCTTTCAAAATGACTGGACTAAAGAATTCACATTTTAATTCTTGCCTGTTTTTAAGATAAATTCATCATTTTAAATATTGTTTCAGCTTTGAGAGAATTACTGCTTGAGAAAAACTTGCTCACCCAACTTCCAGAGAATTTAGATAGTCTAGTGAATCTCGATGTTCTGACGCTGATGGACAATCCTATGGAAGATCCCCCCAAAGAAGTGTACACTGAAGGCAAAGAGGCGATCTTCACATACCTTATGAATAAAAGACATATGAAAATAGTAGCAACAACGGTAAATCAGCAAAGTTTCTGGGTAATAGACTCCTAGTTGCTTTGGAGAGGGGTTAGTGTTAAACACATTAGATTATCCAATGGGGCTGCTCTTTACACATCTGTACCTTGTCCTTGAGAGTAGAGACTCTTATTTACTTACCCAGGGCCAAGCGAGAGAATTTTGAACATCATCCTAGCATTTTTGTTCCTCGTCTCCTTGTCAGATAAGAAGCCAACAATCAGGCAAAAGAAACCAAAATTTCAACTCTCAAAACAATCTAAAATTCTTAGAGCATTCACTGGGATGGAAAGCTGATAGTAACAAAGTCAGTAAGATAAGGCTGAAAAATTAGAAATGAAAGCATTTATGGTGCAGAGGTCTAGCGACCAGAGTTCTTCTCTGCCACTAACTAGAACTAGACAGTGATGGCGAACCTTTTGAGCTCGGCGTGTCAGCATTTTGAAAAACCCTAACTTAACTCTGGTGCCGTGTCACGTATAGAAATTTTTTTATATTTGCAACCATAGTAAAACAAAGACTTATATTTTTGATATTTATTTTATATATTTAAATGCCATTTAACAAAGAAAAATCAACCAAAAAAAATGAGTGTCATAGGTTCGCCATCACTGAACTAAAATCAAAGGACTAAGAGCCCTGTCTTGCCCACGAAGCTCATGGAGACATAAGGATACCCCAGACAGACCAGGAATGTGTTCACTTCAGTCAGTATTCAGTGTTCTCCATTCAACTGTTCCAAGCCCCCATCTTCTCACACTCCTACTTCCAACCTGCTCCCCGAAAATATACCTTTCATTCAGCAGTCACACTGATGCTGTCAAAATATAGGTTGATCAGCTCTCCTCTGCTGAAATTGACCATTTTCATTTCCCTGAAATTAAACTCATAGATAATATTACCTACCAAAACTACATACTTTTAATAAATCGAAGTAATGCCTGAGCTACAACATAAAAGGAAAGATAAGGACAGTTATTTGTTAAAATATTTGTTTTAATATGTATGTATTCAGAAATGACTACTTTGGAAGAATAAAAATACTTTTTGGAGTCTTCCTAAGAGCATTTTGAAAAACCATATACCCTCTTGCACATTTTCAAAATTGGTATTTAAACTTTTTTGTCACTAGGTTTAAATCATTGCAAAGCTTTTACTTTACAGTGAATTTTAAATATCAACATTTTAAAATAGAGCTCTTAGATCAATATTTTAAATGTACCCAATGGAATCTAAATATTATTTTGATTTGATATGTCAGTCAACATCAGTTTACAAGATACTTGAACAACTTCTTATTTTACAGGCAGACATTTTGCTATATCCTTTTCTTCTTGAACATCTATTTTCATTCCATTTTCCCCGTAGAATTTATCTTAATATTTTATGTGATATATATAGTGTGTCCCAAAAAATGTATCCACATACTTTGAATAATTATAAAGGCAGTGTTTATTAAAATACATTTCATTTTCAAAATTGCATTATCAGCTATTAAAGTGTGTATACATTTTGGGGGAACACCCTGTACATATCATTTTATTAGTTTTATTTAGTTATATATTTTATTATATAATATATAATTTAAAGTCATTTATAGATCACCTTTCATACTTATGGGGAACAAAAATATTTATGCAAATTAAAATCATTTTTTTCTGTAACTATAGGGTTTTATAATGTTCTAGAATTATTACATATTATTAGTCATATTATAATTATTGGTAGTATAAAATTGACCATAACAACATAGCATCTATTATGAATTTTGATGTTTAATTATTTGACCTATAAGATTTGGGGTAAATACATATGCAAATGAGAGAAACTTTTCCACATGGTTTATGTATCCTTGCATCAATATTACGTATGGCTAAAATAAGATGGGGCTTGGCATCAGTTCTATGCCTAATTTTCATTTTACAAATGAAGTGCCGAGAAACACTGTCCCCATAAATTAGGTGATAAGAAGTTTTTTTCTTTGCCACATTTTGTTTTAAATGACAATGCCTTAAACATCTCTGGAACTTCTCCCAGGTTTATACCCCAAATCAGATAGCAGGCTCTTAGCAGACAAATCAACTGTTCTACTTTCAATTTTCTTGAAGGCGAGGAGTTGGAAGGCAAAAGGATTGGTTACCTGTCCTTAGAGCCAACATCAGTCATATTACTTTGACTTGTCCCCCCCCCCCTTTTTTGGTGTCCCAGAGGTTGCTGAAGTCCAGGGCAACACACCCTAGTCAGACTCAGGTGGGTGAGAGGTGTGCCAGAGGGGCAGCTGTGTTCCTAGGCAGCTACATTTTAGAAAAGGGTACGCATGCAAGTTGAAATTTTGGAGATGGATTGCTTCCAAACTGTCCGAGCTTGCACACCCTTGGAAAGTCTTTGTGGACCAGGGTGCGTGTCACACAATTGAAGACCTTGACAACAAAAAGCCCTGCACGTTTTCAGAATGCCTCTAGAGGGCAGTACTGTCCCCTGGAAAATCACCACCCTAACCGATCTGCTGCTTTCCCTCTCCGTCTCATCTTTCCCTTTTCTGCTTCCCTTGAGTCACAAACGGGATCCTCGGTAGGTTTCTAAGGCCCAAGCATGCTCCTGCCTCAGGATCTTCACACTGGCTCTTTCTGCCCAGAGATAATTCCCCTGGTACGGGCAAAACTCTGCCTCCACTTAGTTGAGTTGCTGCTCAAATTTCGTCATACCTGCCCTTAGTCCACCTTATATAAAACAGCATACCCCCACCTAACTTCTTCATTCCTCCAACAAATATTTATTGAGCTTCTACTATGTGCCAGGCATTGTTCTAGGCACTGGAAATACACCAGTTTGAACAAAACACAATATGTCCTCCTATTGCTTAAAGTCTAGTGTGATGGGAATAAAAACATGAATAGGTAACGTAAAATTATATACTGTGTTAGAAAGTGATAAGTGGTATTGGAAAAAAAGTTCAAGCTAAGGGGAACCTAGATGACCAGAAGTTGTGTGTGTGTGTGTGTGTGTGTGTGTGTGTGTGTGTGTGTTGTGGAATTTCAATTTAAATGAGATGGTCAGAACTTGAAGTCAACAGGTAGGCTTCATTGGAAAAATGACTGCCTCAGGTTACCATAACAACAGACCATAGACTAGGACGCTTAGACAATAGAAATGTGTTTTCTCACAGTTCTGGCTCTGGCTGCTAAAGGTTCAAAGAGTCTACTTACTTCTAGAGGTGGGATGTTTCTGAGCAGGTGCGAGGGAATAGGATTGAGTGAGGCAACAAGGGTGGGCTGGCTGTAGGGGGGCAGGGGCATAGGAAGACTAGTAACAAGAAGGAAGGCAGGGTAGAGGCACGCCCTCTTCCCCTTACTGTGCACTGCCATCTCCAGGGCACTGAACACCATCTAATTATACATTTATGTGTTTATTATTTATTGTCTCTTCCCTTCACTGGAATGTGAGCTCCACAAAGTCAGTATTTATATAATAGTATTTATTGAGCTTCTACTATGTGCCAGGCATTGTTAACTGCTGTTTCCCAAAGGCTTGGAACAGGGCTTGGTGCATAAAAGCACTCAATACTTTAAAAAAATACCTGGATGACTACTGGCCAATTGAGAAAGAGAGAAAATAAGGTTTAGAGTTCTCATCACATTGCATTCTTCACATTTTTAAAACCACATGTCAGAACAAAGAGGTGTAACCATTCTCAGTGATACCAGCTAATACTGTTTGGGTTTATCTGTTTTCAGATTCAGTCCTGGTGGCGTGGAATGATGGTACGGAAAGGACTTGGGAAATTTAGTGAAATATTAAAAGTGCGAAAGAAAGGAAAGAATTCTCTAAAATCTAAGTCAGGAAAGAAGGGTGGAAAAGAAAAACCTGCAAAGGAAAAGAAGAAATAATTTTGTATATTAATGACTTGAGGTAATGAACCCTGATGGATTGAGAAGGCAAACATATATAGGAATTAGATGCCCACCACACTAAAATTATTCATTAAATTATGGCTATGTGTTAAAGTAAATATTCTTACTTTTACTGAAATATTTATGAGAAAATGATATGAAGCCCAGGAATTGCTTCAGAATAATATCAGGTAAGTGTGGGGGATCCCACAAGATTGGACATAAGCTGATAATTGCAGAAATATCTGATAGTTACATGGAGGTTCATTATAGTATTCTGTAACAAAGTTTTAGTTTTGAAATAATTATATATTCACTAGAGGCCCAGTGCACAAAATTCATGCACTGCGGGGGGGTGGGGCACGGAGAAGTCCCTCAGTCTGGATTGTGAGAGGGCACAGGACAGGCCAAGGGACCCCACTGGTGCCCGATCGGGGCTGGGGAGAGACATGGGAGGTTGGCCAGCCAGGGAGGGACCGCAGAAGGGCTCCAGAGTGTGTCTGGCCCATCTCACTCAGTCCTGATCGGCTGGACCCCAGCAGCAAGCTAACTTACAGGTTGGAATATCTACCCTCTGGTGGTCAATGCACGTCATAGCGAGCAGTTGAGCGGCCTTAGCATATCATTAGCATATTACACTTTGATTGGTTGAATGGACGACCAGACGACTAGACACTTAGCATATTAGGCTTTTATTATATAGGATAGGAAGTTCCAAAGAAATGTACAGAGAGGCCCATGTACCCTTTACCCTCCCTTAGTGTTGACATCTTGCATAACTAGAATACAATAACAAAACCAGAAAACCTACATTGGTACCATCAGGAGGACTTATTCAGATTCCATCAGTAACACACTCATTTGTGTGTGTGTTTGTGTGTGTGTGTGTGTGTGTTTTGGGGGGGCGGTCAATGCAGGTTTTTTTCAATGCAGTTTTGTCTCATGTAGCTTCATGTAGCCACCACCACAATCAAGATACAAAATTGTTCCATCACCACAGGTCTTTACTGTGTTACTCCTTTTAGTCACATCTACCACCTATCCCTTTCTCAATCCCTGAGCTGTTCTCTGTCTCTATAATTTTGTTATTTCAAGAATGTTATATACATGGAATCATATACATGACCTTGGGAAACCAGCTTACTGACACCCGCCATGGTCAAAGTGAATGCTGCTGCTGCGACCTTGGTCCAAGCGGTTTAGCTCTTCCTCCAGTGAAGGTGGGAGGATCCACCTTTTCATTCCTATTTCAGTGATCGCCGGAAGTCTGGTCACAGCACATAACAAGTGTCTGAACCATTGTCCACAATCCCGAAAAGTAGATGGCCGAAGGCTAATATCCAGCTCCGTTAACTCTCTGAGGAGCCACACGTTTTGGCAGAAGGTGGCCCATCCTGCATCGCAGATGCTGTCATTATAGCTCAGGTCGAGCTTCCGCAGCCTGGCCAGATGACCTGTGTGTATTACCGATGCTGAAAAACAAAATCACTCTAATTGCCAAAATACAAGAATACTTTCTGTCATGGCTGTTTCCCACTTCCAATAACACAACGTGGTAGTTCCAGACCGGTAATGACAAGATTGATCATTAGTAATGCTTTGTTGCTGGCTAGCTATTTTATTTAGGGCATCTGAAATTACTTTAGTAACAAATTTTCTCTCTGTGCATCCCAAGTACAACTTGAAAATGGATTTTTTTTTTCTCTTTCCACATCCCTACCCAAAAAATATATTTTTTGGTCAAATTCCTGCTCTTTACTTCACTGGGGTCCCAGCTCTTCCTGCAGACTTTCTCTAATTAAATGTGAGGAACGATGGATCATTGGCTTGAACAGAAGACTATTAGTGAATAATCTTCTTGCTGTTTAATACTATTTAGTTGTTCATTTCTCATTCATTCTGCAGTCAACAATGATTTAACTGAGCACTTCACATGTGCAAAATATACCTGGATAATATCTAATCCAACTGAGAGATGTTTAATCACAGAACAAGTTTGTCTTTGAATAGCACATGTCACAGTACTACCTACAAGGGCACTTAATACATAATAATGATGAAGCTAAGAGAAGATAACAACTTCTGTAAGAAAAGGTAGGGGAGCCCTAACCAGTTTGGCTCAGTGGATAGAGCATCGGCCTATGGACTCAAGGGTCCCAGGTTCGATTCCGGTCAAGGGCATGTACCTTGGTTGTGGGCACATCCCCAGTAAGGGGTGTGCAGGAGGCAGCTGATCAATGTTTCTCTCTTATCAATGTTTCTAACTCTCTATCCCTCTCCCTTCCTGTCTGTAAAACAATCAATAAAATATATTTTATAAAAAAAATAGAAGAAAGAAAAGGTAGGGGAGACACCCAAGGCTAATAGTACATGCTTTTCTTTTTAGTCAAAAGTTGAAATGGATTATAGAGATGACACCAGTGGTGTAAAATCTCGGAGTTACAAGGGACCTCGAGGTCTCCTCGAGGATTCAACCTCCAGATCAATGATCAGGGAAGGCTCCCCTTCACAGCTTCTCCATGGGACCAGCCCGGGTCTGCCTGCAGCACCCTTACAGGTCGCCCCAAGAGGGTGAAGCAGCTCTCAGCAGGAGGATGCCCTTCCTTTGGGACCCTGATCTACCTCCTGGGGATTCCTCCATTGCCCGCGTTGGCCGGCCTGAAACCCCAGCTCCTTCCTTGTGTTAGCCCTGTAGTGTTGGACAATAGTCAGGTCCCCTCAAATTTTCTTCCTTTAGGACTAAACATGCCTTGGTTTTTCCATCATTTCTTTTAAAAAATATATATATTTTATTGATTTTTTACAGAGAGGAAGGGAGAGGGATAGAGAGAAACATTGATCAGCTGCCTCCTGCACACCCCTTACTGGGGATGTGCCCACAACCAAGGTACATGCCCTTGACTGGAATCGAACCTGGGACCCTTCAGTCTGCAGGCCGACGCTCTATCCACTAAGCCAAACCGGTTAGGGCTCCATCATTTCTTATACTTCATGGCTTCCAGACCCAGCTGGATGCTCCACGCCCATTCCTTTCATTTGGGACAAGTTTGATTCCGGAGTGCCCTTGAGAGTTTAGCCGTCCATACACTCACCAGTGCCCTCGCTCTCTAGATGTCCATGTGTGTCCTTTCTTTCTGCCTTTCAGCCTGTCACTCAGCATATTCTCAAGGCCTAAGTAAGTGTTAAGACAATGTGCATGCTTTTTCTCTCCAGAATATTTTCTATTATGGAAAATTTTTTGAAACGTACAAAAAGTTGACAGGAGAGTGAACCCCTGCCCCCATCATTCAGCCTGAACAGTTATGTTCATTACACCTAACTTGCCCCATCTAGTCCCTTACTTCAGCTGGCAACAGTCTAGTGATGTCTATCCATGAGAAATGATGCCTGTATTTCAGTTATGATGATCAGTTTCCTGTTTGAATTTAAGTTAAAGAGTCAACATAAAGAAAAAAGTTAAGTAATAGCGCAGGTACCATGTGGCTAGGGCAAAATTGGTAAAGGTGGAATGTGGATGACTCAAGTTCGGTCAACACGGAGTTGGTTAAGAACACCAAGGCACTCATGTGTGGCGAGATGTGGAGCTGGTCCCCTGGCAGGAACCTCCCACCACCACCTCTGTGTCTACCTTCTTTTAGGAAACACCCTCCTGAGTTCCCAGTTCATCAGGTGCCAAATAATAAATTTCCCTCCACTGTCCTTTTGGGTTTCGAATTTCCCTTATTTGTTTCAAACAGATCACTCCTGAGCAGTGTCAGGAGAAGGGAAGCTGCAAAGAGGGCCCCAGGCCTCGCTGCCTTCGGCTCCTCCCTCTCCCTGCACTTGGGCGGGCACGTTGGGCTCTGCCCGCCAGGACAGCTTCGGAACCCAGAGATACAAACCCAGGAGAGCCACGTCCTCTGTCGCCAGGGAACAGCTGCTCAGCCTCAGCACTTGGAGGGACGTGGAAAGCTTTAGTGTTTCCAGGAGCAGCTTCAGGTTGCCACCAACACACTTGTTCCAAGAAAGGCTGAGTACTTCCAGGGCAGGGAGGTGGACTGAGGCTTCAGCTAAATAAGAAGAGCAATGATTTAGGTCATAAACCTACACTTTGAGGAACCGAGGCCAGGGCAACATATGAACATCACCGAGGTTCAGAAAGTTGTAGAGATTGCTTACTCCTGCCTGTAATTCATAGCCTGGCTTTATATTGTCTATTTTTATTGGGGAGAAATGTTGGAAACTGTCGTAAAGTAAAACTTAATTAAATGGAATTCACTATGACCTGGAATTTCCTTCTTTTCCTTCACATTTAAGAAGAAGAAGTGGCCCTGGCTGGTGTGGCTCAGTGGTAGAGCATCGGTCCATGCACCGACTCTAGTCAAGGGCATGCCAGGGTTGCAGGTTTGTTCACAGGCCCCAGATGGCTGAGTGTGGGAGGCAACCAATCGATGTCTCTCTCTCACACTGGTGTTTCTCTCTCTCTCTCCTCCTTTCTCCCTTTCACTCTCTCTAAAAATTAATGGAAAAAATATCCTTGTGTGAGAATTAACAACAACAAAAAAGATGAAGAAAGAGGCTCACAGGCTGGTCAAGATTTCCAAAGTGTATGCTGGGCTTACATATCCCACCGACTGTGCGGTCACTGCTGAAATCCTGAGACAGGGCCAAACCTCCCCAGGACTCTGCAACTCCAAAATGAATTTGTACTTGCTTAACTATAGTTACAGAAACAAAGAAGGAAAATGATGCATTAGGAAAGATTTTTAAAGGAAATTAAAAGAATTTTCTGCTTAATTCTCAATTTTTCCCTAACATTAAAATCAGCCAGAACAACTAATTTTTAAGATAAGTCGTTAATTATACTTTAAACTTCTTTCCTTCTGCCTTCTTTCTAAAAAGTAAAATATATTCAAGGGGAAAATATACATTCTTCTATAATATCAAATAAGAAAACCCCTCCCAGTCATATGGTACAGAGACCTCTCAATAAGAAATGGAACTTTTTTTCTTCTAAAAGTGATGCAGAGAAATATATACTACTTGATTTACTTCTTAATTCAGGTTGAATGATAGATTTATGTTAGATGCCATAGTTTACTGTAGTATCTACTTGATTATG